TTCATTGTGGTTTTGATTTGCATTTCTCTGATAATGAGTGATGTTGAGCATCTTTTCATGTGTTTGTTATCCATCTGTATGTCTTCTTTGGAGAAATGTCTGTTTAGCTCTTTGGCCCATTTTTTGATTGGGTCAGTTATTTTTCTGGAATTGAGCTGCAGGAGTTGCTTGCATATTTTTGAGGTTAATCCTTTGTTGCTTCGTTTGCTATTATTTTCTCCCAATCTGAGGGCTGTCTTTTCACCTTGCTTATAGTTTCCTTTGTTGTGCAAAAGCTTTTAAGTTTCATTAGGTCCCATTTGTTTATTTTTGCTTTTATTTCCAATATTCTGGGAGGTGGGTCATAGAGGATCCTGCTGTGGTTTATGTCAGAGAGTGTTTTGCCTATGTTCTCCTCTAGGAGTTTTATAGTTTCTGGTCTTACATTTAGATCTTTAATCCATTTTGAGTTTATTTTTGTGTAAAAAATATGGAACACTTCACGAATTTGCATGTCATCCTTGTGCAGGGGCCGTGCTAATCTTCTCTGTATCGTTCCAATTTTAGTATATGTGCTGCTGAAGCGAGCACAAGAACATCTTTTTTTGGTGTTAGTTCTAGGAGGTCTTGTAGGTCTTCATAGAACTGTTCAGCTTCTTCGGTGTTAGTGGTCGGGGCCTAGACTTGGATTACTGTGATGCTGAATGGTTTGCCTTGGAAATGACCTGAGTTCATTCTGTCATTTTTGAGATTGCACCCAAGTACCGCATCTAGGATTCTTGTTCACTTTGAAGGGTCCTCCATTTGTTTTGAGGGATTCTTGCCCACACTAGTAGATATAGTGACACATGGAGGCCTTGAACCCTGTCTGAGTTGCCTTGTATGGAGCCACATGTTCTGTGTCTGTCCTGGGGTCTGCTACCCTGCCCTGCCCAGATATTCTCTTTTCCCTGCACCAGAGTTGGAATTCCCCTCTTGTCCTCAGGGTGTGTTGCTTGGGGTGGGGGCACTTTCCCTTCCACCCACCAGCCCTGTTGTCCTGGGAGTGAGGCTGGCTTGGTCCTCTGGGCCAGGTTGCCAGCAACGTGCATATCACCTTGTGGACCAGAGCAGCCAGTGTTTGGCCTAAGTTGGCTTTAAACACCCCCCTACCCCGAGCTGGTGTAAGAACAGGGTCTGATTTGGCCTGAGGTCCACCGTGTGGCGCCCGCAGTCTCACGATCTGTGTCTGGGTTGGGGAGCTGAAGACGACAGAAGGGGTGTGTGTGGCCGCCATGCCCTCACAGACTCATGCTTCCCGTTGGTTCCCACCCCCTCCATCAACCCAGGGGCCTCTGCTGATGAAATGAGATGGACGTCCCCAGGTGCTCCACTCCAGGGGCTGCAGGCCCGGGACACATGGCCTGGCCGACGGACTGCGTGGCCGTTGCTGGGCTGTGCACGTGGTGTCCTTCCCCTTTAGCTCTGCTCGGGCTTTCGTGCGTTTGCAGAATGAAGGCCACACTCAGTCCAGATTGTAACTGCATGTTGTCCTGGCCATTTAATGAGTGAACAGTAGCCTCTGTAACAGGAGCTGTGGTCCCCTAGGCATCTGTTACTCTTCACTGTGTGTGTGATGCATCTGATCACACTGTGTGCGGCACAGGAAGCACCCTTACAAGGGAAGCAAGAGAAATACCAGCGCCACCAGCCAAGCTTCCTGAGTTTCCTTTGTGTCAGTTACCTGGCCAGTTCACAGTTCTCATGCTTTTGCTCTAGAAGCTCTGACTCAGCACGCTGGATATACCACAGCAGAGACACTCTCAAGGCTGCCAAGCTGTTGTGGCCTTTTCTGTTTTCTGCATGATGGCCTGTGGTTAGCTCATTACCCCCGTTCTCACTTTGCAGCCCCGGAAACACAAGCTCCTTCTGGGCGTCTGTCCTGCGGGAGTGTTGACCCCAGAGACTCATAGACAGGAGCTCCTGGGCCCATGTGGGCTCCCTGCCCCAGGAAAGTACATGGCTGGTACTAGAACCTTGGATGGGCTGCTGTCTTGTAGCTTTATTTTCTCCATTCTTGCTAAAGATGGTAGTTTATTTAACTCAGAATATGAAAAATATTTATGGAGTTTCCCTGGTGGCTCAGACAGTAAACAATCTGCCTGTAATGCAGGAGACCTGGGCTCGATCCCTGATTTGGTAAGATCCCCTGAAGGAGGAAATGGCTACTCACTTCAGTATTCTTGCCTGGAGAATCTCATGAACAGAGTAGCCTGGCAGGCTACAGTCCATGGGATTGCAGAGTTGGACATGACTGAGTGACTAACACTTTCATGTAAAAAATATTTATACAGTTAGTTAACCGACCATGTCTAGTTTTAGTGTAAAATGTTGCAATTCTAAGGTTTAAGTAACATTGAAGAGTAACCCTTGATTTTGATCTTACGTCCAGGAGTCATGGGATTGCAAAAGAAAATAATATAAGCGTTATCCATTCATTCACAGAAGATTCCGTTCCATTACGAGATTCCCTACCAGTTTTACCTAAACAGACCCCTTTTCTTCCCCCGAGCCACTGGTCCTGACTCCGTCCTCGAGAGGCTGTGGCCTTGAGTGCACTCAGTGCTGGTCAGGGGACCTGCAGAACCAACTACACCTGGGCATGTGTGCTCGTGACAGCTGCCCCAGACCCAGCAGCTGATGAAAGTGCCTGGGGGAGCCCCAGCTCACAGGGCAGAAGCGACCTGGCAACAGAGGGTTAGCATTGAGGATATGCTGCCCTGGGACATCCGGGATGACGCCAGAGCTTCCCTGGCGGGGGTCCTGCCCACAGTGAGGCTCCCGTGGCCAAGCTGGACTCTGGACTCTTGGTCTAGACTGGCGTGAGTCCAGGCTCTCCCTGTATGCTCAGGCCCTTCCTGGAAAGAGGCTCAGGAGGCCATGCCAGATGCCTCTGTTCATCAGCCAAGACATTTACTCACAAACGTGAATGAATGGCCATCAAACTTCTGAGGAATATAAACACAGAAGAGAGTGATCTGTGTGAGAAAACAACTGAGAGACAGTAACTCTGAGAACAGAAAGGATGTAAGGAATAAGCCTTGTTAATACATGTTTTTAGTAAGTGCAGAGATCACACGTTAATTTTGAAGGTCTGGAAAGCACTTGTGTAATGCATACTAAGGCAGGCAGCAACGATCAGTGATGCAGGGTCAGGCTGCTGGTGGCTGCCGTGGCAGAGGAGTGGGGATGGGGGCAGACTCTGGGGCCAGAGGCTCAGTTTATTGAGGGTTTGCTCACTCTGTGAGATGTCCTCTAATTTAGTTAAAGCATTTATGGAAAGTGAAATAATTCAGGGCTCATGTCTTAGAATGAAAAAAATGATTCATTCAGCTGTCAAGTCCCCCACGCCAAGCTGGAGGCAGGCTGCTGGGGAGGAGCGGCCCTGGGCCCCAGTGGGGGACTGCAGTGGGGACTGGCCTTGCTGGGAGGATTCCGCGGGCGGGTGCTGTGCACACTCGAGAAGACAGGCCAGGCAGGTCGACGGGCTGGGGCTGCAGGAGACGTCCCCGGAGGTCAGGACCAGCGCGCCTCTGCTCTGCGCCGGCGGTGTGTTCTCCACTTGGCCTCATCGGGGGCTCCACCCCTCTGTGGTTAGGCTCTTCTTCACTGCCTCTGGGAGGAGGGCGTGCAGCCAGTCAGGCAGCTGGACCCCCTGCGTGGGGCTTGGCCAAAGACCTCAGAGGTGGCCACTGTAGCCAGGAGGACTGGTGAGTCAGAACAAAGATTAGCAGGGCCAGGCAGTTCTGTGGGCAAATGACTCGAGGGGACATGCACCTCTTCTTCTGTAGTCTTTCCTGGGGACAAATCGTCATTTTTCAAGTGTTCACTTGCTGACCTAAAGCCACCCTGGCAGTCACCTCAGAAGGACAGGTGACCCAGGGTGGAGTGCTCCCAGCACACGCTCCCATCTGGTGCCCGATACCCGTCCTCTCCTGGGACAGCCCCCCGCCCCCACCTCCCTGGGGAAGACAGACTGGGCAGCCACCCCGGGGGTTCCATCATGGGGTCTGTGTTAAATACCCGGATCTTCAGGAAGCTCCACCCAGTGCTATCCAAATGTGAATTCAGACGCCAGCACCCACCAGGCAGTGGAGGGGCCGAGGGGAGGCCGGGCACAGTGGGCACCCACCCCTCCCCTGCACATCTGGGGGAAGGGGCAATGACATACATTGAATACATATTGTCCCTTGAAATGGATCCCTGAGGTTGGTGGCCTGTAAACATGAATTTTCCCCGTTCCTTCTCTTGCTGCTTTGCCCTGAAGAAGTGAGGCTTCTGAGCAAGGCCTGGGTGCCAGCCGTGGGCTGCCTGGATCTGCTGTCCTGGCTTTAACACTCTGTGCAAGGGGGAGGAGGTGGTCACCAAGAGCGAGGGGCCCGGGGGGAGCTCCCTGAAGTCCGGTACTGCCACCGTAAACCAGCTCTTGTTGCATGCCCTGTGGCCTGTGTCTGGATCCGTGGGGTTGCGTCACTCTGCCTGTGGTGGGCACTTGCATTCTGTCCCCAGTGACCTGAGGACATCCACCTGTCAGCCCCACAGCACGAGCCTCTGACTGCTTAAGACAGGAGAGTTGTACCCTGCTGAGAAAGTACCAGCACACTGGCTGAGAGGCGAGTTTGCTGGGTCTTGAGTGTCAGGCGTGTGGGGAGGGGTCTGAACCTGCCTGGCCCCGGCAGCAGAGCCCAAGCACAAACATGCCGAGGTGCACAGCCTCGTGGCCCCTGAATTAACCTAGAAACGGAGCCCATCTGCTCCTGGATGTCAGCAGTTTGGGCCCCAAGGGAACTCAGAGTGCATGAAGTCTCAGGTTTGGGGGTTTCTGTGGACCTGCTCGCCTCCCCACAGGGGCGTGTTTCTGGGCTGCATCACTGGACTGAGCTGAGCTCCTGGGAGGGTGGATGTGCCTGGCTGACAACCATCAGACCTGTCCCCACAGCACCCGTGTCACCTGCCCTGTCTCGTTCCATTCCAGGCATTAGCAATGCGGAGGCGCGGCAGCCAGGGAAGGCCCCCAACTTCAGCGTCAACTGGACGGTGGGCGACTCGGCCATCGAGGTCATCAACGCCACCACGGGGAAGGACGAGCTGGGCCGCGCCTCGCGCCTGTGTAAGCACGCGTTGTACTGTCGCTGGATGCGTGTACACGGCAAGGTACTGAGGCGCCCAGATCCCCCACCCACTCGCGGCCACCCTTCCCCGTCTCCTCTGGCTGCTCTCAGCGGGCAGTCAGGCCCTGCCTCCTCAAATCCAAAGCAGGCTCACCCCGCAACCCCTGGTCCCCACCCCATATGAACCCAGGACTCACCAGCCCCTCCACTTGGCTCCACACCAGCTCTGCCTGGCAGGCGCTCCCCCTCACTGTAGACTTCTGGGCCCTGCAACCTGGGGCTGCCCTGAGTTCACTCAGCCCTTCAGGAAGCCTCTTAAACCTGTTGATTTTGAGATTTCTTTTGGAGTTGGAGGGTTTCCACAGCAACAGGTCCCCTTTTCCCCAGATAAAATCTTCTCTGGTGGATCTGTATGTGACCAGTTTTCACCTATTAAGTCAAGTCAGAAGTTTTTATCTGTGATGGACAGAAGTTGCCGTGTCCACGTGGCAAGAGGGTCACCATGCAGGCAGCCTCACAGCAGCTGCCCTCCCTGTAGATCCTGGCTGCACAGAAACGTGTTGGCCAAGGCAGGACAAACCGAGTTCTCTGTGACCAAACAGCAGAGCGGTGTTTGTTCAAGACCCAAAAGCGTTAGTGTATCGTTTGAGTCCCCTGCTCATGGGTCGCCAGCAGCCCGCCTGTTTAACTGCGAAGCCACCACTGGGGCTGAGGACGCAGGCGCACGGGGGCATCTGGCCTGGCTCTGTGTGATGTGGTCCTTGGGGTCAGTGGGGTCCCCCAGAAGCAGCACAGGTTCAAATGCTATCCTTCGAACACCGTACTGGATCGTGTTTTCCACTGTTACGGCTTGAACAGCTGTACTTGCCTTTTTGTCTTTTCACAGGTTCCCTCCAACTTACTGCGCTCCAAGATCACCAAACCCAACGTGTACCACGAGTCCAAGCTGGTCGCCAAGGAGTACCAGGCTGCCAAGGCCTGTTTGTTCAGAGCCTTCATCAAGGCCGGGCTGGGCGCCTGGGTGGAGAAGCCCACGGAACAGGACCAGTTCTCACTCACACCCTGACGGCGTGCAGCACAGCCCCAACCTCACAGCCGGGCTGGGGCAGGTGTGGGTGGGCGGGCGCCGTCCTGGGGGCAGGCGTGCAGTGCGGGGCGGGGGTGGGGTGGTGGGTGGGGGCACCGGGTCCCGGTCCCCACCTGCATCTCAGCAGCAGCGTTTCCCCTCTGAGTCATCCAGTGACTGCTTTCAATCTCAGTTTACGTTTAGAAATTGAGTTCTACTAAGTAGGGCTTCCTGAAGTTTAGGAAAATAGAAATTACTTTGTGTGAAATTCTTGAATAATTTATTCAGAACTAGGAATGTGGTTTATAAAATAAGAAATAATTATGCCAGGTCACTCTTATGCCACATTGTTTTAAGTGCAAAGAGGCATTTCCATATGGAGGGTGTTAGGAAGTAGCGAGGAAGCTAGCCTAAGGAAACCATCCCGTCTGCCCATGGCCCCTTCCCCCATAGTTGCTGCCCTCCCACAGAGGCCGACCTGCAGCACAGTGACCCGCCAGATGGCCCCTGGGACTGTGGCCCAGGTCCTGCAGCCCCCTCTTCTAGAAGCTTCTGTACCCCTTGTCAGACCATATCCTGGAAAACCTCTTGGTAATCACAGGTCAAACGTGGCCGGTGAGCCTGGCCATTCACTTGGGTTTTTTAAGCAGTATTTAACTCTTAAGGACCAGAAGGAGTCCACAGGCCAACTGCACAATAAATGGCCTAGGATTCCCTCTGATCCCTCCTCTGAATTGCGTGGATGTGAACGACTGTCCCAAAATCCTCACAGGATGGAAATAGGATGAACTACGTAAATATTCACTCTTGGAAAATGCCACTGAAGGCGTATTTTTAAATTATTCCTTCCCACTTTATCAAAGACGTGTGTTTGAAATATAAGAAGTGTTCAGGCTGAAAGCTGGCGAGACAGCGTGTTGCTCGCGTGGTCTCGACAGAGGTCAGGTGTTGGTGTCACGGCAGGGAAGGGGGTGGTCTGGCGTCTGGGACACCCGGGACACGGGTCGGCACCCCACTGCAGGGACGAGCCCAGGCAGGCCGAGCCAGGGAGTCTGGGGTCAGGGAGGGGGGTGGGGGCTTTGGGAGGCCGTCCCTGCTGAGCAGAGTCCACACTGACTGCCTCCTACTTCACTCAGGACCCCAGAGGAGCTTCCCGCCCTTCGCGGGGTCAGTGCCAGTTCCTGGTCTTGGGGTGTGTGGGCACGAGGGCAGACCCACTCCCCAGCCGAGTCCAGGAGTCAGGCTGTGTGCCCAGGGGGTGTGTTGGGGAGTAGGGGGTGTCCTCTATGGACCTAATAAGCAGGAGCAGGGCGGCCCTGGCCGTGACCCTTGTGCTCAGGGTGGGAGGTGGGGGCTGAAGAGGGCTGGCCTCCGGGTGTCTCCTTGCATCACAGAGACGTGAGATAGTGTTCCCTGTGGGCGCATGCTGGGGGTGCTGTCCACACACAGGGATAACCGGGTCAAAGGACAGATCACCCACACCTCCGTCTGTGGAGCGTGGCTCAGCCTGACCCTGCCAGCACAGGGCCCGGTGGGACCTGCACACTCAGAGAAGACGTCTGTGAGCCCCTGCATTTGTATTCTCGTCTCTATAGATGGTATTTTTTTCTAATGGGGATTGGAAGATGGACTTAGTTTTTTAAAAAATACGTGGATTTTGGTTACAAAGTCCAGAGGAACGGTGTTGCGCACACACAAGCTACCCTGCATGCCCATCTCCCCCCACCCCAGATAACTGAATGCCTTATGTGCAGGTCCCCGGGGCCTCAGCTGTGTGCCGCTGCCTCTCCCAGGCCAGTCTGTGCCCCCAGGCAGCACGGGCCTGGCGCGGGGCTCTTGCCCCAAGAGTGCTCAGGCCTCTTGGGGATGCCAAGGAGGTGCCAGGGGGAAGGTGGCCAAGGTTCACAGGGGTGGGAGGCTCAGGGAGCCCTGGGTGGGCAGGGCCAGAGGGATTCCAGCCCTGCTCCTGGAACAGGACAGCTGGACGCTGCTCATAGGCAGGAAGTCTCCAGTCCGATCATCCTGAGCACTCCCAGTCTCCTCCATCTGTGTGTCTATCTGTCTGTAGGCAGGAAAAGCAGGGAGCGCACCCCCTCAACCCCCAAAGAGATCAGGGAGCCCAGCATCTTACACACCCCTCCCCGATGCCCACAGGGCATCACTACGGAGCTGTTCCCTCGAGTCCTTTACGTCTCGGGTCCTTAATCTGGGCTTTAGAAACAGAGATTTGACATAACCAAGAACTTGATCTCTTGAAAAAAATGTTACATTTTTGAGGACAGCTTGACCAGTGGGGATGGGAGGGGCTCTCTTTTGATTTGTTGGCTGAGCCTGGAGTATTAATTCTGCCAAGACACTGGCCCCTTTGCAGTGCCCAGCCCAGGGGGCAGCTGTGCTGTGTTGTGGAAGAGTGAGCCAGGGCTCGTGGGGGTGGGGCCGAGGCGGGCCCCCATCCTGGGCTCTCCAGCCCTCACCCCTGCTTGGGGTCAGGGCACTGTACTCCTCCCTGCTGATTGAGTCTTAAAGGGGCTTTTCGCCTGGAGATTTTTATTGTGATCAAAACGAGTTGTTTTATTTTAATATGTACAACCCAGCATTTTGTGAGATATATACTTCTCTGGAATTTATTTCCTTGGAATAATTTTGTTGCCCTCCAGACTGCAGAGCCCTTACTCTCCTTGTCTTGGGGCTGAGCCTCTGGGTCTCCTTGCTGAGCAGGTCCCAGGGTTCACCACCTACCCCTTTTCTCAAAACAGACAAAAAGGATGGATGTTTGGCATTTCCAAAATACCTTACACCAACATGTAAGGTCTGCCCCAGTCATCACTTTGATCCGGCATGAGAAATAAAGTGAGCTGGCATTCCCATCTCTTAAATTCTATGGAATCAGTGAATCTCTCAGAAGGTTTATTTTTCATCAAACCTATACAGATGGAAAAAGCAGAGTGTGACCGTGTGGGTCCAGTTTTGTGAGTCCTGGGACCATCTCTTCCTCACTAGCAGCCAGCCCAGGGTGCTGGGTTTGTGTCCACACAACTGGGAGTGGTGGGGGTGGGGGATTCTCACTTAATCCTGACTCTGAGCTCCTGTTCTGGCAGGAGGTCTGCACCCCCTCGCTCAGGGTCTGGAGGGACAAGGTCCCCCCCGCCCCCGCCAAGGATTTGTGTTTTGACCATAGCTTGTGCTGACAGTGCATCACGGACGCAGCCGTGAGCAGTTCAAGGTGGTCTGTAGAGTGAGCCCCGAAAACGGTTTGCTTCTCCGATTTTGGGTTATATGCTTTTAATTTTGTTCTAGAACTCAGACACTTTCTATGAATGTAACTCAGCTGAGGACGCTGTCACTAGGGCTCAGCCCTTGGTGTCCGCACGTCTACACTAATGTCCAGGCCACACGTGATCCCCGCATGAGCTTCCTCCTGCACCGAGACCAGCCAGAACCGAGCATGAGATGCTGTCACTCAGACAGAGGGCACGAGATGTTCTCAATAAAACCATGTTTCACCACCACAGCCTTGCCCAGACTCTCTCTCCTCCCTGGTATCCCCCTTCTTGCTCAGGAAGGGGTGTCAGGAGCAACACCTGCTGGGGGCGCTGCAGCTGGGCTCCACTCTCACCCTGTGCCTGCTCTGAGCGCCTGCCCCGGGGTCAGCCCTCCAAGTCCAGTCCGCAAGTTCAGGGCAGAGGAGCGGACACTGCATAGCCACCCTGCTCCTGTCCCATCTGTTGGGGAGGGGGGACATGAGCCCGCATGACAGGAGGCGTGTGGAGGGACGTGGATGGGGCAGCAAAGGGGGGACCACACCCCAGGGTGGTACTGACCAGACCATCTGGGTGTTGGGGTCGTGAGGTGGCCCCCTGGTTGCAATAATGTTCAGGGCTAGTGTTTTGGAAGGACATTCCCAATAGAGTGGAAAACCGACTGTAAAGCAAGTGTTTAAGTTCACGGTTGTGGAGAAATTTGGATGCTTCATGGAAGGGGGGTACAAGCATGCACGGAACAGTCTGAAAGGACTGAGTCTGGTCACCGTGTGTGGATGACGGGGTGGGAAGTCGTTTTCATTTTATTTTCCATTTTAAAAAATTTACCTTTGTCCAGTATTCCTACAACAACATGAAAAGCAAATAGGAAAAGTTTCTGGAAAGTGAACAGTCCCATACAAATAAAAAGCAGCACTGTTAGAGACAAGTGGTTTGCTCTCTTCGCGTCAGTTTTGATTCTGTCTCCCATTTCTTTCCCCACAATAAAAGCAACATTTGAATGAAGATATGTGTCATCAGAAAGACCAATGACGCTTCAGAGGAAAGGTTGGGAGCAGCCTCTTCTTCACAGGTTCAGTCCACAGAGTCGTGGGGTCTTCCTGTGGCTCCTTTGAGAGGCGGCAAGACCCTGGGTTCTGTGATGGGGCTGACCACAAGGAGCACACATTCTTCTGCAGGAAAGGCTGAAGATCCGCCCCCAGGTTGTGAGGGGGTCTGGGGGCTGCCCTGAAGACTCGCTCGGCTGCTGTACGTCTGGGAAAGCAGCTGCTTAGTAAGTTGCTGTGAAGTGAAGTCGCTCAGTCGTGTCTGACTCTTTGCAAGCCCACAGACTGTAGTTTACCAGGCTCCTCCATCCATGGGATTTTCCAGGCAAGAGTACTGGAGTGGGTTGCCATTTCCTTCTCCAGAGGGTCTTCCCGACCCAGGGATGGAACCCGGATCTTCCACATTGTAGGTAGACGCTTTACCATCTGAGCCACCAGGGACGTCCTAGTAAGTTGCTATGTCATTGTTAATATTAAAATCAAATTAGTCACGTCATTAATAATTTCCTTAGTAAAGACAGAGGGACCAGCCTGAGTGGGCCTGGTGAACTGGGGCACTGGCCCAGCAGTGAAGCTACAGCATTCTGGGGAGAGGTGGAACCCAGCTGCTATTTAAAGCCACACAATATGAGCTCACAGCTATGTTGAGAACAAGGTGCTGGATCCTCAGAGCCATTGGCTCATCATTGTGCCCGAGCCTCGGCCTGCTGGGCGCCCTCCGGGCCCTGGGGGAGCCTTGTACCTCAGATGCCCCCTCTTGGGCCTCACTGACCGCCCTGCAGTCCCCAGGCCCGAGAACGGGGTGCAGATGTGCAGATCACACTGAAGCATACCTGTTAGGTTGAAAGGGCCCCAGAATTGAGGACGAGTCGGTGCAGCCTCTGAAAGCTGTGATGAGAGGCATTGCTCATCCTAGTCAGATGCGTGAGTGACAGCGACCCCCCCTCTGGTCAGAACTACGGTCCCCACACTACTGGCTCCAGTTACGAGGGTACAGTGAGAACCCACTGGGTGTCTATAGGGACAGCAGGCCCCAGGACTTGCCAGATCATCATATTTTTTTATCATTTATGAAGCGTGGGCTGCCATCTTCACAGCTGTAAAATCGATGATTGGCTCTGGGCCGTGCAAGGGCCCGGAGCTGGGAGCGTCCACCTGTAGCACTAAGCGGCAAGGCTGCTGAGCCGGGGCCCTCCCCCGCCCCGCCCGGTGCTCCCCACCTCTCCCCACCCCTCAGCTCCCTGGGGCTGTGGCCATTGAGGCCAGCTGCCAAGCGGCCACAGCACCCTGAGGAATGACCTGAGCAGAAGACGTGTGATGAGTACAACTATTTGATCATTAGAATGGAGACAGTGATTTAGACTCCATCACAATATGTGCTAATATTTTCAAACAGAGAGCCCCAAAATTTAAAATGAGCTCAATGAACATTCTAAAAGAAATAAGAAAATGTGAGAGCAAAGAAGAATTTGAAATAGTGAACATAATGGACTATCTCAATAAAAGAATGTGTTCACAATCAGAAAACCGGTGGAAAAAGGAAGAGAAAAATGCTAAAATATTTGGACACTAGCAGCAAGGTACTGACATCTGGCTAATGGGGAGTCCATGTCATTTGTCACCATCACAAAGGCGCTGCTAGGATACACAGTGAAGTCTTTGCAGATGAACAATTCTGGAACTTGCTTAAAAGAAAAAGCAGCAATGATGGGAAGGTCTAGATGAAACATTATTGGCCAAACATAGGAAATTGCTCAAGCTGATACATAGGAATTCATTACACTGTTCTTTCTGCTTTTATGGGTTTAAATGTTTTCCTGGGGCAGGAAACAGTGGAGCCAAAGCGAAAGTCAACTATGTTTGGATAAAGTCTGGCCTCGTGAACACGAGCTTCTTGTGAATGCTGAATTCCTCCCCGCCTTCAATGATTTCATGAATCAGACTACTCACTTCCCTACTCTTTTCTTATCTTATATGGATAAACAATATTCTTAAATAACACTGCAGACATACATTGGAAAGTGCTAGCTATCAGACTGATTAGTTTTAGCAATGCATAACTTTCTTTTTCATTAAACATGAAGGAGGCTTTGATCGTGAATTAGTGAGGCAGAGCTTTTTAAAATGCTTTTTAGACTTAATTCTTACTTAGCCTTTAGCTCCTGGGAATAATGTTCAATACCAACATATACACATTTTTTGTCATCAATTCTCCTCACTAAGTATATAACCTGAACATTTGCCTATATACTTTCATTAAATTTTACAAATTAAGTTAGGAAATCAGTATATAGACTGATTTTCTTTTAATGGCAGATTATAAAGTGGGTCAATTAATTTTATCTAGGTGTTCTAAATCTTGGCCTCACTGCCTTCAGACATTTATAAGGTGTGTCCTATAATTTTATTTCTCAGGATTTTCTTTTTGAAAATCACTGGAAAATCATGTTAATGTTTTTATTTCAATCAGAAAACTGGGTCAGACCTGGTCTGACCAAGTCTAACTCGGTTCCCAAGCTTGACAAGGAGGGTTAGGCTGCATGGCAGACACAGGCCATTAGGATCAGTAGAATGAAAATAATCTGCACCTCCAAGGCTTGGTGAAAATAGATTTAAAACAATGGAATGGCCAGAGCATTTTATCGAAAAAATGTCAAATGGGCTAAAAAGCAATGAAGTGAACATTTGCACATTCCCAGCCCTCTCAGAATGTATCAGGTTGAACAAATTACCGCTTGGTGATGGAGAATCACTATAAGCAGAGGTGAGGCCGTGCCAGTAAATGTCCCAGCAATTGAGAATGACAGGATAACACATCATTTGACAAGTACAGAGTTTCAAATCCTTTGCTTTCAGAGCATTTGAATAAAAAGGTAACCTGGTCGAGACCTGATAAAGCAATTTAAATGTTTTTATAATTTTTATTACAGATCACCTTCTGATGAAAGGCTATTAGGTTGGAGTTCAATAAGCAGTTGAGGGACATTGCTATCATGTATCAGTGCCTCCTTCTCTTTGTATTCTGCAAAGTGTCCTGGCTTTACAGCTATTGGAAAAACATTAAGCATAGCTAAGACTGAGCTGGTCTTGTTGCAGCAGACTGCTCTTGATCCTTGTGCCTGAGAACCATCTGGTTAGAAGAACAGTCCTCATCTCATTAAGGAATGCGTTTTACCTCAGATATTGCTTTTGTGTATAATCAGTTCAGTTCACTCGGTTGTGTCCAGCTCTTTGCGACCCCATGGACTGCAGCACAAGATTCCCTGTCTATCACCAACTCCAAGAGCTTCTCAAACATATTCATCGAGTGGGTGATGCCATCCAACCATCTCATTCTGTCGTCCCCTTCTCCTCCTGCCTTCAATCTTTCCCAGCATCATGGTCTTTTCCAGTGAGTCAGTTCTTCCCATCAGGTGACCAAAGTATTGGAACTTCAGCTTCAGCATCAATCCTTCCAATGAATATTTAGGATTTATTTCCTTTAGGGTTGACTGGTTTGATCTCCTTGCTGTTCAAGGGACTCTCAAGAGTCTTCTCCAACACCACAGTTCAAAAGCATCAATTCTTCAGCTGTCAGCTATCTTTATGGTTCAGCTCTCACATCCATACAAGATGACTGGAAAAACCATAGCTTTAACTATATGGACCCTTATCGGTAAAGTAATGTTTCTGCTTTTAATATGCTACCTAGGTTTGTCATAGCTTTTCTTTCAAGGAGCAAGCATCTTTTAATTTCATGGCTGCATCCACCATCTGGAGTGATTTTGGAGCCCAAGAAAGTAAAGTCTGTCACTGTTTCCATTGTTTCTCCATCTATTTGCCATGGAGTGATGGGACTGGATGCCATGATCTTAGTTTTCTGAATGTTGCATTTTAAGCCATTTTTTTCACTTTCATGTAATAGTTGCCTATCAGTGCTGTTATGTAGTCCTCCAGGCTCTCTCTCCATGGAATTCTCAAGGCAAGAATACCAGAGTGGTTTGCCATTTCTTTCTCCAGTATGTATTTACATTGTTTGAATAATTGTCAACTGAGAGTATTTAAAAAGAAATACACATCCAGGAAATATTATGAATAAGTAAAATCTGGCGATCATAAAGTGATGAAAAGGAAGGATTGGCAAAGAGGATAAAAGATGCTGGAAAGTCAAAGAGAGGAAAATGGGTTGGGAACAGTCGAGGAGCATGGTGGAGTAGAGAAGGTAGAAATGGATCATGGATGATGGTGGTGGCTGGTAATTGGTAGAAGTTAGATGGGGGTATGTAATAGGTCCATGGTGGATGGTGTGTGGTAGAAAGTGGCTGGTGGGGGTGGTGGAAAATAGTGGTGTTTGATGGAAGGTGAATGGTGGAAGGTGGCAGGAGGCAGGTGGATGGTAAAGCCTAGAAGGTGGAGGGTGATGGTGGAGGGTTGGTG